TGATTAGGGATTCATATTTTTCAAGTCTTGGGTAAAAAAAGAGAGCATTTTAATAAATGGCTTGATTTTTGCCTGGGGGTAAAATATCTACTTTTCTCTAAAAATACAAAAATTCTCCCAAAATTATAAATGAAATGAAATTCAAACATCAGTATAATTCTCTGTTAAAATGAGAGATTTGTTTCTCTTTTCCCTATTTTCTAACATAAATGGCTTTATATGTGCTCTAAACTAAATCTTTTCCTGTTTCTCTTAGCTTTAAACTACTTATATATATTTGATTTGCTTTACTTTTGTCTAATCGTTCAGTTAGGATCAGAATTTGTTTTTTGCCGTTTTATGTTGCTGGTGTTGAGCAGAAATAATTAAAATTTGACTGCAGAAAACTAAGGAGCTTATCTTTTAACTGCTAAACTAATACTGTGTTGTATAAGTTGCATAAAGCATGTTAGTGTATGTTTAAATATCTATAATAAAATACCAGATGAAAAAAACCTCCACTGATTTTGGGAAGTATTCAACGTGCATTTTTTGGAGGCAGCTATTACACATTCTAGTATGGAGCATTTTCAATTTATTTTTGTTTTTTGTTGACTAGCACTTTGCTACTTAAAAAAAAAATCCCACTTTTTTATTTGTTTATGTTCTAGTTATTGTAAACAGAAATTGGAGAGCTTATTTTCAGCCTCCCCAAATGACATTCTGTTTTGCACTTCAGCCTCTCCCTGTAACAACAGCAACACAATGTGGACATGCCATTTGGTCCTAGATATAGAGAAGTTTGCAGATATTTGTACAAAGTTGAAAGTGAAGTCGCTTTTTTCCCTAGTTCAAAATTTATCCTAAGCAAATTTAGTTTTTTCGAGTGAGAGGAATCTCTTTTTTCTCTCTTAAGTAAAATGGAAATCCTAGCTCAGTGCCAGCATCAGTTAGCTTGGATGAAGGTGCTTTGCTCTCCGTGGCTATGAATTTTACCTTTAAAGTGTTAGAAACTACTTACCATTTCCACTCATAGTGGCAGTGTGGGTCAGTCTCTGGAACAGCAAAGGCCTATGTAGCCCTGCCTTATGATGGCAGATAGGGGAGACAGATTTGAAAACTGGCACTTACTCGTGTGTTTTGTGTGTGTGTGTGTGTGTGTGGCATGTGTGTGTGTATGTGTGTGTGTGTGTGTATGGTGGTTTTGTATCTTCTTGTTTCCAGGGGACATGATGACCTTATTGATGAAAAAAGACACCCTGACGGAAGAGGAGACTCAGTTTTATATAGCAGAAACAGTATTAGCCATAGACTCCATTCACCAACTTGGATTCATCCACAGAGACATCAAACCAGACAACCTTCTCCTGGACAGCAAGGTACCCTGGGGGATAGCAGTGGGAC